GCTCGTTTTTATAGACTTCCCAGGCTTGTTTCGTGCAACGAAAAGAAAAGAATGAATGAATAAATAAATAAATAAATAAAAGCCATGCGCGCGGGTTCGGTTCGAAGCACTGGGGCAATCTGTGGCTTCTCTCCTGTTCAACTGGTTGGCACCCATTAGTGAGGTCAACTATATCAGCCAGCAATCATCAATCAGCCTTCATCTGTCATGTTTCCTCGTCTTTCAGCAGGTGCGCTGTTTCATATCCATACGCGGATGTTTTTGAGATGCAAAGCGAGGAGAGACGCAGCTTTCAGTTGTCTGATTCTTCACTGCAACTTCCGAATTCGCTAATTGGTCTCTATTAATTGCAAAATGTGCGTTTTGAGTTGGGAAATGCAATTCCCTGGGTAGATTACTAATTGTAAATGCCAACATCTGCCGTCATGAAAGTGATGCGATCCTGCCCACTCTGACCTTTTGACCCTGATCCTGATACTATGGAATTTTAAACATTTAATAATTTACAATTAACAATAATTCAACATTTTGATGTTTGAGAAAGAAAAAGAAGAACATCTAATCATTTCTTTAATACATTCTCATTTTAATTTGGCAACTTATAAAATTTTAAACATATAAACTAGTGTAGGAAATAGCAAATGTAAATTGTATTATTGAATTTGAATTAGCATTTTGTTTCAAATGTTGCACATTTGGTGTGGAAAATGTACATTTACATAGCCTATAAAAATACATTGCAATTTTGCATTTTACATTTCAAATAAAAAAATGGCTACCCATAAGCTTCCATATTAAACAAGTCTCTGTTTACTTTACGCTGACGGGATCAGACCGTATTTAGGAAATGTTTGATGCTTTACCAATCAAGTCTGTAACGCCGATTGCGAGTTTGTTTCGAATACTGTGACTTCTACAATATAGGTTCATGCGGTTCATCACTGTAAAAAAAAAAAAAATTATTTTGTCAAATCAACTTATATTATAATTTAATCAATAATTTATTTAGTTCAGAGAACTTATTATTTTGAGTTTCTTATGATTAAATCAATCTCCTTCATTGTTTTACCTCACTTTTTCCATTACAATCAACTTAAAATTTTAAGGCAAACATGTGACTTAATTTTTTAAGTTATACCAACAATATTTTTCAGTGTGGGGAGTTTAGTGGGATCTTTTGAAGAATGTAATAATTTTTTGATAAAAATCCTCTAAAATCTGGCTCCTAAAGGTGAAAACCTGGATACACCAGGTAATTTTAAATTCCCTGGAAAAATCATGAAAATATACACAATCCTTAGTCATATTAGCTATGAATAAAAAATATTCTACTTCTATTTCTATTGTATACTCTTACAAATGAAGTTCTTAATTTTGAAGGACTGCAAAAGTCATGAAAAAATTTGGCAACCCTGAACATACTAAGATAAATAGGCACTTGTTTGCTCTACCTAAACAGTTATCACTCCAGTTTAGGATCAGATATCATCCACTCTCACAAATGATGGTCACAAAAGCTCTCACTGTGTCATACCCTTTAAAAAGGTATCAATATTTACACTTTTGGTACCGTACCTTTAAGATAGCCTACTAATATTTTGTGTGGCTTTTGAAAGGGCACTGTCCAGATACAGCTTTTCTGAGAGTGTATCCTAATATCCTAAGCATGTCTCTAACCTAAACGTGCAACACTTTCCCTGACCTCTCACGTAAGTAGCATCGGCTCTCAGGCCAGAGGAGAAATCACTTCACACAGAGCATTGCTGACACCTTGTGGCTGAAAGGATTGGGATTTGCACTGGGTAGATTTTCCCACTAGAAGAGCTTTACAAGAAAAGAAAAGATTAATACTTCAAAACTCTTCAAAAGATTAATACTTTATTCCCTGAAATGCTACATCCATGACTTCTGATGTGTTTTAACACTCCACCCAGGTCTTCACTGAGTCACATGAGACCTACTCGGTTCTGCAAGTAGCCTATATGTCCTGTTATAATGCATAATCGTTTGACCCTACGGTTTCTGTAGCCTATTTGGTGCCTGAAATTTTACAAAATCGTCAAATGTCATTTATTGCATTAATATATCATGCTAAAACCGTGCCGCACACATTTTTGCAAACATGTAACGACGTAGGCCTACAATTCACTGCAGTTTTCCGATTAAATGAACAGGTAGAAAAAGCAACAACTTCTACTCATTTTCACACACATGATACTCGCGAGGCCACATTACCACGGGTGTGTATTATTTTAATTCAACAGTGCATCGTCAATTGTATCATACTTGTAACAAACATTTTGCAACGTTTTTTCCCCGTTAATGTGGGCACTTCCGAATCAATGGCCATTAAATAACTGGATAAATAACTAAATGCAGAAATAATTTGCGCTGCAATGTGTTTATGATTGCAAAAATAAATTAAAATAACATGATAAATAATAACGGTTTTATTTTAAATATTTATGAGACCAGAAGCCTCAAACCAATCAGGTAAGGCGAATCTACAGGGCTGTTGAATGCTTGATTCTGATTGGTTGATGAACGTTCTCTAAAGTGTGCAGTGTTATTTTCCAAATAAAGAAGCACAGTTTAAGCAGGAGCTCTTCAACAAGCTCAAACCGGGGCACCACGTTTTGCTTCAGTTTCTGGGATGAACACGAGTTTACTGGAAACTATGAGCAATGGGGTTTTAGATTAGTTTTATCTTGTTTGGTGGGTGTGTCAAAAATGTGTGCCTCAGCGAGACCTAGCTGCAGTTTCAGAACACCAGCGCCAGAACCGGAAGTAAGGGGCGGAGCTTACGTTCTTCCACCAGCGCCAGGACCGGAAGGGAGGGACGGAATTATTGACGAGACAAGCAGGGAAGACAGCACGGTGAGTACAGGGAAAAAAAGTCTATCTCCAGGCTTTTGCTAGCGGAACAAAACATTTATGTTGCGGGTGGGAGAAAGTAACATAGAAAGTAGTTGAGAACGTCAATTATAAGGACCCACGTATTAAAAATGGTCGGGTTTAAATCGGGATCTGGCTTATAATTAGCCTACGGTTAATGTGTCGGGCCGGCCGGGCTCGGACACAACGTGCACAGGCTCAGGTTGGGTTGGCTTCATTTTTTTGGGCCCGATCTTAGCTGGTTCTCAAATGACTGTTTGGATTTTGCGCTGTAGGCTTACGATGAGATGCGTAAGAAATTAGTCCCTCACACTAGCATTTTAAGGGAAAAAACTGCAAAATGTCTTAAAATAAAACATCAGAACAACTGTACTTTTTGATATCATCATCTCCATATGGCTTTTCTAACATAGTACATTTGTTCAGTATAGCTCACCCACAGCTTTGCACTTGAGTCCCAATTCAAAACTTATGCTAATCAAGCTAAAATGCTGAAGCAAATTGTGTTTGTATATTTTGGATATTTGGTTTAGAAGAGGGTTAGTGTTATTTTCACACGTGAAAGCATTACCCTTTTACCACCACTCACATGACAATTAATTTAACATTTAATTGACACAAGCCAACGTATAATAACCAACGTAATAAACACCTCCACCTGCATCTGTTTCTGATAAAACTGAACACACTTTTAGCCGAAGTTTCGCGAAACGTGCAAGAAGCAACGTAGCCTAATCGTTTTGCAGAAATGTTTCTGCTATTCTCAGAAATGTCACACAATTCTTTGGTATTTTTTTATTATATAAATACAATTATTTAAAAAAAAATTACAATATTATTCTATTTCATAATTATTGTAAATACAAATAATTGAATTACATCCTCAATAAAAAAGCAGTGCTTGTGCTTAGTTTTATATGCAAAGTGCACATAAAACCCCAAAATTTGCAAAGCCCAAATTGCAATCCTCAGAAAATGACTTTGTTTTAGTTTTTTACCATAATAAAGTTTGTATAATGTTTAATTCTGAAAGAAAGAATTTGGTCTTTGAAATGTATGTAATAACTATTCATACATACAATGTTATTGTATTATGTACAGCATTGGCTAAAAGTGATGGCCTAGGAAATTCAAATATTATTCAAAGTGTGTTAAAGATTTTGTAAGCATATTGGGTAGTTGTGTTTGGAGTTGATTGTTTTATTTGTGATGACAACACAATAAAACATGCCAAATTGTATGGACATAAGTTCTGGCCTGGCTGTCAAAAACAAGAGAGAACTTTAGAGAGAAATTTTGCCTATTAGTTGTGTGTGATAAATAGCTTAAAGGGCTCATGAACTGGCTTTTTAAATTTTATTATATTGTTGTCTGAGGTTGACTTATGACGTTCGCTTGGTTTTTGCATTCAAAAACATCAAAATGAATAAGTAATAGGCTATTTTGTACCCAAGTTGTGAGCCTACCGGATAAACGCTGGGTTTTTATGGGCGTCTCGCACTGAAGACTTGGAAGTAAACGCCCACTGCTGTGAATGGATAACAGTTTTGCATATTATAATGCAACATGACATCATGACTTTTGCGTAAACATACACGCCACTTT